ATAATTGCTGAAACTTTAATGACAATTTCCACAGCTATTCCTGGCTTTTCCTTTTTAGCAGTTCAATTGTATGCACCTCTTCACTGTGTAACAGTAATATTGTTCATCTCTTGAACTGCAAATGATTGGGAAGTTATTGCTGGTCTCCCTCTACTAGGAACTGGTATTCAGAGGGTCAGCTGTGTTCAAATAGTCATGGAAAGGCATGACAGTTTCATCAGAGCATCTATCACCTGCCTGTAAAGCCTGGATTTGGGTTGAGGAGTTACAATGTCAGATCTGGCAAATACGGGCAAGCCAATTCCTGACTGAGAGAATCAACCATCACTGCAATCATTCTGAGGTAACAGTATGAAGGTGTTGAGGGAATTAGTCAGGGAAAGAAATCTCACTGTACTTTACACAGTTCAATCTGACGAGAATTAAATACTTTTGATGATCTGGTTGTCTGAAATAAGATGCAGAAGAGACATGTTATTTTTCTTTTCATTTTTTGTTAAATAGATGGATGGTCATGGATACACTGTTCGGTAATGCACACATGCAGTATTAGTGTAGCTCAGATACAGTAAGTATAGTGAACATTGTATACACAACAGTGCGTCCAAATTGCAGAGGAAACAAACTTTGGTCAAGTGAACATAATGTAAAAACTGTGGTAGCTCTCACTGACATTCAATACCATGTATTTACTTGTGAATGCATTAATGACAAAAATTGTCTCTGGACATGTACATGCACTCTGTATCCTGATCAATGAAAAACCATAAGTAGGTATCAAAATGAGACCAGCAAGAAAATGTGAAAGCCTATTTCTCATTCTGAAGTTTTAAGAGAGACTTTTAAAATGAAAGAGAAACAGGAATTCATATCTTTTAAATCCTACTATGTGGTGCACTTTTAAACAGTGTGGGTGTTGAAGAACAGAATAGCAATCATCTGATGAACAGCTGCAATCTATGCTAACAACCTTATTGAAACCCATATTAAATTGAAATACTGGAGACCTTTTTTAAACACATAAGAAATCCCTCTGTGATTTTTTGGATAGCTGCTTTATCTGGCAACTAGATCTGTGCATATGATTCAATATTTATCAGTGATCATAACTGGTGAATTTGTAGTTCAGTAATACATAGGAACAAACTCTAGCTGGTATTAATGCAGTAACTATAATGTCTCTGATTTAAACTCTTCTTACAGTATCTAATAATGTTTTGAAAGGGAGCATTTGCTTAAGAGTGGCTTCTTTTCCCTTTCTTTTGCTTTTAGAATTTGGTTTTTTTAAAGTATATAAGCCAGTAAGAATGAATATCACTGGAAATACTGGATCTCCAGGTTTGTAGTAAAAGTTATGCAACAGGAATGGAGGGCTTCTTGCTCTGTAGGGATTGGTTTTAACTTACTAATACAAAAATGCATTGCACTTCTGAGAACACAGAAGTAATGTCTTTTTGACATCACTATGTAGTTTTATAAGGTAATTTGTCAACTAACTTTTATCTCAAGCTTACAAAACTACTTATCAAAATCTTAAAATTTTCCTTTTTTTCCTATAGACATCTAAATATCTAATATAAAGATCATAATTTAAAGAGGGAAAGTATGTGAAATACACGGCCATTTTCCTTTACCATCCCAGGAAAAAACAGTTGCATCTAAGCTGTCAGAAAAATCTCCTCATTCTTCTGCAGAGTCTTCCATCCTTTCCAAAGGGTAAAAAAGCATTTTTTTTTTTTCCTGTAATCAGTGGACTTTGGTGGGAAGGGAAGGAGGATTTGGGGATAGCAGAGATGCATTAATCAAGTGGACTGTAGTCTCAAAGAAAGATGCTGCTCTGGGATGTGTGACCAAACGGAACGTGCAGTAGCTGAGTGTGAGCAGGAATCTGGGACTTGGTATTTATCATTTTACCCACTTCAGTATCATACATATTCTAATGTTTTAACTGATTTCTACAGCAAGGTCTTGTGTCATGAGGTTATAAGAGTAGCTTACAAGCTTTAGGGCAACAAAATGTTCCCTTGTTAAAATGGCCTTCTGATTACCTGTGTAAAATGGAAGGTTGTTGATAACTGCAAACAAACTAGCTTTCAAGTAATGCACTAGACTTCGAGAATTCTTGTATGACATTAAGTTTCATGTAGGAGCTGTTCAGTATACTCGGAAATGATACCATTTTAAAGCTACCCATCATATAAGAAAATCAAGAACAATGTATATTTACAAGCTCTGAACACAGGAACTTCTCTTCCTAACCTTGCTAGTGAATTTGACACAGGGCCAGCATGCCAGAGTTGTCAACCATGCTATTCCTGTCTTGTCCAGACTTGCAGTACAACAGTTAGCAAATCCCAACCATTCACTGCCTCTGTATCACACACCAACAGCTCCAAAAGCTGTACCATTTTGGATGACTGGACAGCCACCAGACTTACAGGGTGAATTTGATTTCTACTACAAAATTATGAAGAAAGAATGCCATAGTATTGATGCAGCCACAATACCACCACAATAAGGTACAACACTACCATTTAGGTATAAAAGGAAGTATTCACAACCACTTCATAGGGATTTGGCAAAAATAACTCCCAAGAAACTCACACAGAATTGATAAGACAAAGTCGTTTGTGAATCAAAATGCCTGTCAGAGATATTGAGTCATGCATGTTTCCTTTTCCATTTACAACTCGCCTATCCACAACTTCAGTTCTTAACTACAGATCCCTCTCCGTCTATGCAGTTTACCTATCTGTTAAGATAATACCCACTTTCTATAAATAAACACTGGCAAGGCTGATTTTCACTGCATGTATAGCTGTTTACTTCTGAAAAGCATTTTTTTGATATGCTGCATACGTTAATACATCCCTTAAAAAAATTTGCCAGTCACATCTGCAGTTTAAATGTTTCTTTCTAGAAGACAAACCCAGGCCAAGCAAGACAAAGAATCTGCTGATACACACATGTCACTTGAAGAATTCTCCTGACAAAGTTCCCACACCCAATTTAATTACTTCCCTACTGTAAAAACACTTTCCATCTGCATTTATTGTAATAGTTTCAAATCCAAAACTAACAGACTATAAAGCTAGCTAAATAAATGAATGATATTGGCCTTAGGTCCCAAGCCAGGAGCTATTCTGTAAGGCTGTGTGTCTCCAGCATTCATTTTTATGCTGATGTTTCATTTTATGTGCAGTGTTTTCACTTAAGCGGTGTTTAGAGAAGAATTACCTTGCTCCAGGCTCCAAAGCGTGAGTGCCACATGGAGCCCTCTAGTGCCATTACAGCCTGAGGTCTGTCAGAGATTCCCCTCCAAGACCAAAGTCACATTGTGACCAAAAATCCCACTTCAGGCGTACACAGAGCACTGCACATGCTCAGGCTAGGAACATTAATTTCAACTTTATCTGATATATCCTCAAACTGAGGCTGCAGAGCAAAAAAATGAAAAGCATTTGTTTGTAAATGCACCTTAAAAAATGAAACTACCATATTTAGCCTGGTAATATGGGTTCACTTGAGCATTTGGGAGGAAAAAAAAGCATCCTATTCCTCGGACTTAGTATGAAGAATTTAATTACAGTTCATAAGAATTTCCTCATGTGTAGAGATAATGACAGCCCACAGGTTTGTTTCAATATCACTGATGAAATTACATCACACTATGGACTTCATAATTCTTAAAAGCTTGGGATATAACAGTCTCATTTGGACAAGCACGGCACTTAAAACTATGCACATATATGAATGTTATGCTAAGTTTGGATTCTCCATGGCGTCGAAATATTCAGAAAGAGCATGGCCCTTATAATAAATTTTAATTCAAAGCAGCAGCACAGCAGATACATTTTTTATTTAGAAGTTACAAGCACAGAAGGGTAAACCATACCTCCACTGAAGTCCAGGGCAAAACTGGTACTGACTTCACTGAAAGCGTATTTGGACATTGAACTGTGTATTCCCTTATATACATTCAGTTCTTACCAAACTAAATGAAAAGATAACCGACATGAGCTAATCAAAGAAATTCAGATAGTGCACAGTACAGCTTAAGTCACAGATACAATAACGGCCTTGGATATTGCAGGTGACCCCCAGAGGATCCTGCTGCAACAGGAGCATAGTTAAGACGTAGTTAAGGATGGGTTTGATGGGCAAACCTTGAATTATTTGACTTTTCTGAGTTTTAATCACAATGTTAGTGAAATATCGAGTTTATTTTGTGGCTGTCCCGTCCTAATTAAAGCTGCTGAGTTTCTGTGAAATTAAAAGAGGTCTTCTAAACAGACACAAGACAAAGACAAAAAGCAGTGCAAACCACCAAAAACTGAGAAAACTATCCTTTGTAGCCCAACAGCTTACTAATCAACATGCATGCTTAATAGCACATCTAAAACAATTACCACTTTGCCTGCTCAAAATTGTCCATATACATACATACATGTGCAAAATATAGAAGTTAAATCCATTTCCTTTTTCCATGTGAAATTAGGAAAAACTGTGCTTGAAAAGATTGTGCTTTTTAATGAATGTATGGCTTCTTCCCAGCTTATGAATACAGCATGTTTTTCAGATGTGAAAACAAAGAAGTTTTGGTAAGGGTGAATTTTCCCAAATAAAGAATTAATTTTCCACACTGGAAATAAACTATATTTCAATAAACTTCAAGACTCAGGTATGCCAAAAAGGGATAAATTAAGAAACTGAGATTTGATTCCATAGACTTCCCTACACTATTTAATAGTTTGTGTTTTTTTAGTTGAAGAGCACAATTCTGTGTTATGACATCATCTAAACTTAATTACCTGGATGCTAGGCTGCATCTTTGATGGGAAAAAAACCCTCCAGAGTGAATAGCATTAAAACTGACCCAACCATTTGTTCTTTGCAAAATGTGACTCTGGTGTTCTGATGCTACATATCCGCAGCACAGCTCTGCCTCGTGCTCTGCCACCGTGCTGCACTCAGCTGGCATTTGCCTTCTGGTACCATACCTGGGATTCTGCGTCTCTGAACCATCTGACTCTGTACACGGTTTCTTTACCTGCAAAAGCAAAGGAGTGCCAGTTACTCTCAAGTGAAACACAACTTCCTTGCTCACAGTTCACACACTTACAGTATGTAAAGTGGATCCTGTTCTGCTCACCGTGATCTCTATAAAATACTTCCCGCACTTTACAGCAGCAGTATGCAGTACTAAACAGTGTGTTTCATTATTATCCCATGAACAGTTGCCAACTGCACTTCCCCAGGCTCCATTAGTATGTAAAATGTTCAGCTAAAATAGCTTGGGAGTAGTCTTAACTAGGAACAAAGAAACCAAAGAACCAGGTTCCCCACTTGGAAATGAGAAAGCCATACTGTTCTCAGCTTGGCCAAGAAATGTTTTTCCAGTTGATATTGCTTCTGTTTCCAGCTAAAGCTCACAATAATAAACACCAGGTTCTAGGGCAAAGTGCACTGTTAGTTAAATATGAATAAATTCATATAGTAATTTTCATTTTGTGAATCTGCTAACTGTATGTTAACTATATTTTCCTATTGCATCAATGAACACTTACACCATTTTCACTCATATTTGCAAGATGTAGGTACATAAAAGGTATTTCAACTTCCAGTTTGATCTCTACAATACATTGCTGTAGGCTAATTGAAGGTGATCAAATCCATTGCTGTCAAATAAAAATAGAAAATTGTACTCTTGCAGACTAGATATCTCTTTGGGATCTTCGTGATTTCCAGCAAAATTTAATTGTACCTTCTGGTAATCTAAAGCACTTGTATTTTCAGCAGAGAAAAAACCATTTTGTTAATGCAGAATCCAGGGCTGTGTGGGAGGTTTCAAAGCTCCATTTTTAAAGTCATCTAGAAACATCACAGTCACTAGGACTCAAATGATGTGACTGACACAATACAAAAACCATTCGCATTGCAACCAGCATGTTCAATGACAATTTTCAGGAATGCCTTGAATCAAGAGACTCTTCCATACTTTTCTGCTACTTTACAGAAAAAAACCCTGTGACTATGAGTCACTTCTATTGAAGTTATTGATAAATGACACTCACCAACTCAAACAGAAAAAAGGATTACACTAATGCTTAATATTTTCCCTAAATACCTCAACTGAATGCCATTCAAATCACTCATAGATGTCTAAGTACAAGCATTATTCTACAGGTGGCCATTTCTCTTATTCATTTGCATTGTAGATACTAAAAGGACCAATAAGTTCGCATACATGGTTATTCACAAAAATCAGATTTCTGTAGCAATAGTGAAAATTTCCCATGATAACAACTTAAATCTGTGTTTATTATTGTAACAGTGTCATCCAAAACGCTAAAAAAGTAGGAAACACAAAGGAACTTCTAATTACATTTTGCGTGATTTTTACTACAAACTTTTTTCAACCTATCCAGTTACTTACTTTCAGCCCTTCTAACTTTCCTCCTCTTAGATTGTTTCTTTACTGTTTCTACTCTGAACTCCATGGAGTTATTAGTTACAGTGTGCTACAGAGAGATGAGATCGTGCAGTAGGTCAGCATGAGACAGTGAAGGCTCACACAAACCCAAACCTCACAGACACTATTTCATAAACACTCAGGTGCAAATATCATTGCTATAGTTTTATGTTCACTACATTATTATTAAAGTAGAGTAAGACGTGAAATATAATAAAATACTTCAGATACAACTACATGATCAAGTACCACAAAAAATGTCTTCAGTGTGCATTATATACAAACAAGAGAAATATTTATTCAGATTACTGTAGAGTGTCAACATCACAGTAGAGTGTTAAAAAATATATTCAAAATCATTTAAACACACTGAAATTACAACAGCCCTTCCTTGAGGGAAATGTGTACTTTCAGAAGCAGTTTATCTCAATCGAGCTACAGAGGATTTGGCCAGAAAAATAATATTGTCATTTCACATATAAAATATAATTTAAAATAATTGAAAACATAATGTATTTAGAACAATAAAATATAAAATACAATAATATAATAAAAATTAATTAAAATATAAATATATTTCTCATAGAGATATAGTACAAACCCTAGAAGAGCTCCTTTTTCCATGTCCCTTTAACATCTACTCACTTCCAGGATATTTTTGCTATCTCCTTGCTGTTAAATTTACTGGCATTTATAGATTCCTTTTCCAATTTCTTTGCTGTTCTGTGGTTGCCACCAGACACGCTGTCTGTCACACTTGCACTGGGACACAGATCTCACTGCCCAGGTCAGGAAAGTTCAACCGCTGATTTTAAACAGTTGCTGGAGAGTCTGACAGTCACCCAGCGCATCCCACCACCCTAACTTTGCAAAACGATGGTATGTCCTGTGGTGGGCAACTAGCACAGAAGCTCAAAGACAGTTCAACCAAACACTAACATTACCCGAGCACTTTTAACATACACGATACAATAAGACCCCGGGTTTATCTGTGCAGGGATGTGAGGTGCTTCTTCTTCTCAGTTAAGCAGTAACTGGGTACTCACAGAAGAGCTGTCCTCCTCCTGCTCACTCTACTACTGCATTTTGCTTTGACCAACATTACAAAGCAATTGAAATGTCTGAAAGATTATGCTTTATCTGTGTGGTAAACACTAAAAAAGACCAAACACCACCACCACTCTCAAAGAAAACAAAACCAACCAACCAAAAACAAACAAACAAGCCCTGATAATTTTTGGTATACCTTCAAAGGGAGTAGCAGAAAAGCCACTGACCAATTATATCAAAAAGACTCACCTCCTGTGAGATGCAACAAACTTGGGTGGGACAGGAAGTCAGTATTTTTTATTTACGAATCTTGCAATGAAAACGCAATACTTTAAAAAATAAGAATATTTCAGGTTTTCAGCATGACACACAGATGAAGCAGTTCATCTATTATCATTATCTAAGAAATGTGCAGCAGAAGCACAGAGTACAGACGTGTCTTTTCCTCTGAGACTAAATGTAAACTTCACTGTGTATCTTTAGGGTCCCTCTTTGAGAGAAAAAAATTAATAAATAAAAATATTATTTCTTAAAGGAGGAACAGGCATGTGATTTTCTTTCAAGTGGTCATATGGAATCCACACCATTTCTTTTTAAGGCTACTCAAGTAGCAAAACACATTTTCTTATTCATAAAATTATGCTACCCTTGAAGGTGAACAGAAAATCACTGCGAAAAATTTTGATCAAAGACTAAATGTTGTTTCCTTTGTATTCAGCTGTACTGTTTTACCTCTTAATCTGCTTGCTGACTGTTTTCAAAATAATTAACTTTCACTAACACCACATTTATTATTTACCTTCTCATGTGTTAAATGAGAAAAAGAACCTTTTTCTTTACTCCTGCTCTGTTTTCCTTTCCCCCCCCCTCTGTTTACACAGGTTTTCTCACCATTTTAGTTATATGCACATTAAGAATCATTCACAAGAGTAAGATACCAGTTTCAGTTTGAATTTTGTCAAACTGCATTGAACTCTCCCACTCTGGCTGTCTGCTACAAAATGTTTGGAAAGTTTCAGCTAAAAATCCGTACATACAAATATTTTTGAAAACATGTCATGCCATTATGCTGCTGAATGGCTTTAGCACCTGAAAGTTGGAGGCAAAATCCCAAACTGAAAGGGGGTGGGGGAGAGAGTAAGGTGTACAGATACCCAGGAACCATATTTTTTGTGAAATGGTGTCCGAATTTATTTCAGTTTTTAAGATTCTAAAAGCCCTGCTGTCACACTGTTAGTGGACTCCTGTTGCAGTCTGGCTATTGAATTTCTGAAGACTTTATCTGCATTGAATACTCTCCCATCTCAAAGATGCTGGTACTGCATGAGCCTTAGGATTACTTCTCCTGAGTGCCAGGAGAACCCAATGCCATCAGGAAATTTGACATTATCAAAACTGTATCTCTTTGCTTTGTCAGTTCCATCTCCCACTGTTCAAGTACTCAGGTAATACCCAGAAAGAGAAAAACTTTGTAGACTCAAATACAGGGAGAAAGAGAGGAAACAACAGGGAGAAGGAATAGAAATCAGGAGAAGAAAGAAGAACAAGCTCTTCACAGGGGCAAAACTAAAGGAGAGAAGAAGGCAGGCGAAAAATGTGGCAAATGTAGGGGTGGGGTGTGGACAGTGAAAGATTACTGGGGCTGGCTGGGATGGGACAGCACTGCATAGTTGGATCTCCTCTCTAGATTTGGGACTAACACCACAAAAACAAGCCTGACCACTCATCAGATACCTGTGAAAATCATTAGAAAAATCATTAGTACCAGTCTGCCCAAAGCAATGGATTAGTTCTACTCCAGCTGCACTGAAGACCTAATTAACAATCCAAGCTGGGAAACTATACTTTGAACTTAGAAGATGGTGTATAAATGCTATGTTTATCCAGAAAAATGAAGGTCTCATTTGACTCAAACCGGGGAAAAAATAGTCAACATTTTATACAATTTCTGCCTTCATCTTTGCCTTGGTTCATCAGATTTCAAATATGAACACTGTTAAAAGCATTTGATACTATGAGGGCACTGTGAAAAGAGATGCATTTATTCATTAAGCATAGAAGAACTTCAATAAAGGTATGTGATAAATATTTACATGAGGAATGATTTGATATTAAGTATGGACTTTGGATGCTTCATGTTTAACAAAGAGAGACTGAAAAACATGAAAAATCTAACTACACATTCACTGCAAAAAGAAGACATCCTCTGGAAAGCCTAGTATGTCGGTAATAAGATCTACACCATAATGCATAAGCTGGATTTCCACAGGCCATATTAATGCTGGCATTTCCTTTCTTCCGATGTTTTTCTTTGCAACATTAACATCTTTTAACATGATTTTATTGGACCTCATTACACTAGATGTTAAACCATGAAGCAGTTCTGCTCTATGAGGTGTTCTCACACTCCCTCTCTTACACACACACACACACACACACACACAGGTGGTATTAAACCCATAATGCAACACGTTACTTACAGTTACGGTGTGAAGGCGGGCCGGAAAGTATGTAAAGCAGTAAGACCA